GTATGGCTAAATTCCTCGATACTGGTATGTAAATCTTAAAACGAAGAGATTCGGTAATAATTGGCATTAATATTTTACAAAAGCACTTTTCGGGTCTTAATTTCCAATTTAGATATTTAATTGTTTTTGTACGAGAGTAAAAGACAGTCTAAGGTTAAAATCAACAGAGCGGGAGTTTGAGGTTTTAACCAGATAGTGGTTATTAAACATTAATTTTAAAAATACCGAGAGTGTTTTAAAATTAATTGGACTCTATTTATTTTCAAAAAATACTTTTGAATTTTAAATGAAACAGCGTGAGCGCTCCTTTGAGCTTAATAATATGACTTGAATCAATAGAATGAAAGTGTGAGATGAGGGTTTTTTAAATGAATAGTTTCCACTGAAACAATGTTTTAATACTGGAAAAAAATTCCAGAGACTTATTGAATCCCTGAAGTTAATAAAGTGCATGCCAGTGTCCCGTTATTAATTATTAGATTTTGGTTAATTCCCAATTAAACCCAAATAACCATTTTATAATTAGTCTTAGCTTTACACAGTGACCATAAGATAACAGTAGTTTTACCATCAGTCCTTGTGGATTCGATATCTTTTAAAACTACGCGATAGACTGTGCACATGCAGTCACTACACCTGACAGACTCATAATGTCGCGATCAATTAAGTGACAAATAAATTACTTCCAGGTGTTGGAACAATTTTTAAAACAAGGTTCATCACCTTAGCTTTCTAGCGCTTCAAACAGAACTCAAATCGGACGTCCGAAACTCAAGTTATGAATTTTTGAAGTTCCACTGATTTTCATCGCAGAGTACTCGGGTACCCATATATGGTACCCGGGGTACCGAAAAAAGAGAAGCATTTTTTTACCATTTTCTATGTATAAAATCCATCCCAACATATATCTGAAACCCCATTCTTCTCATAACTCGAGATACGCATTACTTTCTTTAAAATTCAGTTTCTAAAACATCAAATTCCTACTCTTTTAATAAGGCTACTAATATATTCGAGTTCCGTCTCTGACTCGCGATCCACAACCCTCCAAAAACATCAACAACATTTCTTATATGTGATTCCAATACCAAATTTACATCAATTCATCACTCTATCATCATTCAAAACATCGACATCACACACAATGCTAACTCAACATTGACAAATTCACAACCAGTCGGCCGTGCTAAAACATTACAACCGTCTGAGCTTTACCTTCTAAAAGTCATCCTACTTTGCTTAACAGATATCCTCTGGCATAAGAATATGCATCGACTCATCAAAGTAATTCGTAATCACTTGGTTTCACTTTAGACAGTCCACTCCAAGGATAACACCCAGTTAATCCAACACTTCACTCTAACGATAAATCATAATTACCCCCGGGAGGCACCAAGACTCACCCATAAGGGGAACATCATTAGCCATAACATCACCCTCTACTTCTAGAGATGTGAACAACACAAGTACCTAATCATTCCTCCCTTAAGATCACTTCGATCCAACCGCTAGGTATAAATCTTGAATTCGTACTTCCTTCATAATTGGAAAATAACACATCAACACTAACGTCTACACCCATGCACTTCATGGCATACTAAACCAACTCTTCACACCTGAACCATCTCAGAGAAGCATAAGCTTCTCCCTCACTTGTTTCAATCCCACTCCTACAAACAAGCAATTAGAAAAGCAAGTAAGCATCGACAATGTTTCATACACTTGTTGCATACTAAGGAATAAACGACATTAAACATCTTGGTCGGACGGACCGACTAGGCTCTGATACCAATTGTAACACCCTATTTCCCCCCTCGAATAATTAAATGAAATCAGAGTAAATTAAAAATTTCCAATCAACATTAAAATAGGATGTCACATTTCATCATCTCAAAATTTGCTCAAACATTAACTAATGGACACATAACACATTATTTTTGGATGAACCATCATTATAATCATCATGGTATTCAACTTCACTTTATTAATGCAACGAAAACAATCCAAAATATAATTGGCCAACAACTCATACAATCCATAAACAACGTCTCATCAATTTTAAAAAAAGAGTTATAATACTCTCACAATCTTTCAAAGACAAAGACGACTAAATAAGCAAATTAAACGTTCATCTACAGTGTTACGTATCAGAGCAAGACCCGACTCGCTTGACGCACTATGAGGCGCACCTCCATACCTCAAGATACTCTAATCTTCGTCACCTACGCGTTATCCACGTGGAGGCAACATTCAAACAAAAAGGGTGAGATATCATAACAATATAAACAAATATATGATAATGAATATATGACATGTATATCATGTAAGATTTCAGCTTAATAATCACCAATTATAGTTCATAATAATTATACAGATACACACTTAACTATCATCATCCATCAATGAAATTCATTTATACAACATCAAATACAAGAATTTCACACCCATTCATCATCAACAATTGTCACATAGATAAATCACATAAAACACCCAATTCTCACAAACATGAACATACAATTACATAACCTAACTCTACTATAACTCATCATCATACAAACCTTTATAGAGTTAGAACCCCACCCTTACCTTAGGTTTTGAGTTCTCTTCCCTTCTCCAATGGAGTCTTCCCTTTAGCCCTAGGTTCTTCCTTTTCTCCTCTTCTCCCAAAAGCGCTCTTTTTACCTCTTCTCTGGGTTCGACGATTGATTGAGAATAATGATTCTCTCTGTCTCTTTAGACCCCTAATATTAATAACCCCATATTACCATTCCTTATTTTTAATTAGTTATTTAATTACTAATATTATAAATAACTTGTATCTATAATAATAATAATAATAATAATAATAATAATAATAATAATAATAATAATAAAATGATTACTAGTCTTCTCACCATACCCCTATGGTTATATAGTTTCGGTCATACACCCTTAACACCTCAACTTCTATAATTTCTAAGACATCTCATCATCAACAAACACACCACATCACATCATAAAATCTATCAACTCATATAAATACATCGCATTGACTAATTCACCATAATTCATATATTCACAAATAATCATTGATATTCATACTAAATTAATTAAATAATTAATATAGATTTTTGGGGTGTTACTTATGCCCTCTGTTATTTACCAAATCCAAGGATATATAACTATGAGTGAGATCACTTCGAACCCCGGTTACTGCATCTTATATTTTATTTTTATTTTTAATTGGTTTAGAGTCACATGAAACCTTTTATTTTTCCATTTTCCACTTATTTATTTATTTATTTATTTTTAATTTGTATTACACTCGGTTATATTTGTCAACTAATGGGTAATATCTTTTGCATAAACATTTTCAAATGTCTTTTTTGTTTTTCTTCATTTTTAACCTATTACCTCAGTTTTGTTTAAAATCAAATGTGATAGTTATTTTAAATGAATTCCCATAATATGGTTTTATGGGACTTTCCTATTTTTTATTTTTAATTAATATATTCCATCCGTTTACCCTAAAAACCAATTATTATATTGCATGAATAATTCAGATAACTAGACTCTAACTTTTCACTTATCTATCATCAAACACTTTAACTTCATCATTGTTCTCTTCATAAAAACCCTAGGTGATTTTCATCAAAACTCTTCAAACATCAACTCGAACATAATCTCTTTTAAACGTCAACTCTTTCAAAATTAACTCGAACACCATCTCTTTTTAAAACCCTAGTATGTTTCTATGTTTTGAATCATTTAGGGTAAATTTTGTGTGATGTGGCTTTGAAGTTCATGTTGGTGTCTCTGTTATATGTTGTTTTTTCTTGATTTACATAGACATGGGTGATTCGACAAGTACCTCTCGTACAACATCTATTACAACCTATGCTAATATAAAATATATAAGAATTACTAGAGGTTCCCCGATGTTGACCAATGTTAAAAAATCCCACAAAACCGGTGTTCGCATCCCGATTAGCTTTGATATAAGAACCAATAAGTCTTATGGTGAAAATGCTTATGATTTTAAGGGTTACGTGACATTACAAGGTAGAAGCAAAGTTAGTATTTTGATAGATAATTGGCACAACATTGACAGTGATTTAAAAGATATTATATGAACCAATATTATGGCATTTAAAATGAATTTTATAATTTGTCTTACAAGTATATATGATCATTTATTTTTTGGTTTAATACTAATATCAACTCCATTATGTAAATGTAGGAAGTGTTTATTGTTCCAGAGGATAGTATGCTGAAAAATAAATGGCTTGCATATGTTGGTGAGTGTTGGAGGGGCTTTAAGACAAAAATCACAAATTATTATATTAAACATCCAAAATATAACAAAGCACCTCCATATGTGAAGTATTCATATATTGATAAGAAATTTTGGTAGGATTTTGTAAAGTCTCACACGACTCCTGAATTCTTGGCTAAGAGCCAAAAAGGAAAGGAGAATAGAGTTAGAAATATCTATCCACATAGATTGTCTCGTGGAGGATATGATAAACTTGAACAAAAAATTAATGAAAAAAGAAAACAAAGGGAACTAGATTTGGGAGATCCTTCTAGAAGCCTGGATTGCAGTCCATCTCCACCATCACCCCATGAGAAATGAAAGAGGGCACATCAAAAGACCAGAAGGCGAGTTCACATCAGAGGCTAGACATGAAGTAGCTGAAAAGATTATAAGGAGATACTTTTTTAATATTACTTATTTTAGTTAATTAAATAAGATAAAGATTAACTTTTATATATGTTGTAGATTTCCTAGTTCAACAATTCAAAGTTGGTATCTTCGTTCCACAAGATCGTCATGACATCTTAATAGAAGCGATTAGAATCAAGGAGCATGATGGACGTGTATGTGATCTTGGAAGAGGCATCGACTCAAAGTTATTTTTTGGACCATCGCGACCAATTAAGGAAGTAAGTCGTAAGAGAGAAATTGAATAAATAGTATCTGAAAAGGTGGGGGAGGTATTAGGACAAGAGCGGGATAAATGGACTCAGGAGGCGATCGAGAAGTGGACTCGGGAGAAATGCGAGAGGGTTCATCTAGAGGAGCGGGAAAAGATGTTGCAGGAGGAACGATAAAGGATATTGTTGGAGGTGTGGAAGAGGTTCTATAAGGAGCGAGAGATGTTGGCTGAGGTTAATCGAGATAAGTGTACCCAAGATATGATTGAGGTATAAGTATAATTAAAAATTTTGTATTGTATGTTGTTGTTATTATTTGTATATTTTAATTTTTGTATTGTATTTCAATTATTTTTGTGATTCTGAAATTGAAATCAATGGGTGTACTGAACCAACCAATTCCAGATCAGTTGGACATCCATGAGAAAGTAGTTGAGAAATTTGTTATGGGTGGTGCAAGCACGAAAGATAGTTGTTCTGCCCCGCATCACAATATTGAGACCACACCTCCTCAAGTAGATAACACTAAGAGACTACCAAAGATGATAGACGGGATTACATAACTCTCTGCGTTTAAATTAAAACATGAACCAAAACAATCTTTTATACTTCATAAGAGTTGTCTTGTGGAATTTTTGAAGGCAGATGATTGGATGGACATAACTATACTATAGTTATGGTGCTCATATGTATAATTTTTGTGGTGATTTCAATTTATATTTATTGCTCTCATACTTTAACATAAATATTTGAATTTTGAGTTAACTTTTAATTAGGGTCATGCATGATTTGTGTGTTGAAAGGAAATTGAAAAAGTATTGTTTCTTAGATCCATTGGACATTCAATTTCAAGGTAATGCAACAAACACTTTCAATATGTACATACAAAATAAGTTGGTTAATGAGAATAAAGAATATTACATAGGATCGTTTATCCATAAGTAAGTATATGCTTTAATTTGTATTTTTAATTATAAATCAATTTTATACATATTATTAATTTTTTTGAGTGTTTATGTAGTGTGATCGGTGGATCTGGAACTGACTGTTTTAAAGCTGGTTCGCGAAATGTCGCGGTAAGCAAGAGTCGCCACCGTCTTTTATTTTCTCCAATAGGAAAGGACAAAAGCACAGAAAAATTCCTTTAAAGAGATTGCTCTCGGTTCGGGAGGTAGGTTATAGAAAGGGAAGGTGTTAGCACCCTTTCTATCCATGGTTATCCATGGGCTCTTAGGTACTTGCTCAATGTTTTCAAAAGATGTTGCTTTTCTTGTGTTTGTGGGTTTTGAAAAAGTTTTGTTTGAAAAGTTTCAATTCAACTCGTACGTCAGAGTGTTTGAAAAGTTTGTTTTGAAAGTTTTTTGAAAGTGTGTTGGTGTGAAAAGAGTTTTTGTTTTGTTTGAAATTAGAGCAAGTACCTTTGAGAACCTACCTACCCTAAGGAATTAGTCTGTGTAAATGTCCTTTAAGGTAGTTCCATCCCACCATTGAGAGGTAGGTAGCACCACCGTTGGAGATGTTCGGGTCAATTCGAGTTTTAGGGACGTGGTGATCACCAGAGCAATGGGAAGACACCTTAGAAGCTACCCTCATGCCAGGTTCCCGGATCATGAGGACTTACTAAGACGTTTTCTACTCGACGACCACCTTTCGAAAGGCAACAGTGAGGCGTACCCTAGGGGTGGTGTGTGCGAATTGTGCGTTATTTTCAGTTTATTGTTTGTCTTGTCATGCATTGGTGATCTAACGCTTGATTTTATTTTTAGGTCCATACATTCTTTCATGCATATTTATTAACAGTTATATATTTGCAAGAAAATAAACCTAAATTATTACAACCGGCGCGGGTCCACATCGCCAAAAAAAAAAACCGAACCCGATTTGACTGAAAATAAATAAAGCGAATAAAAAAAAGTGCGAGAATTTTAATTACATGGCTTTGGGGCATATACAGGATTATTTAAACAATATAAAACAAATGCGCGAAATAAAGAGACTAAACAAAATTAGGGCGTTGGACCCTTTTACAAACAATTAAAATTAATCAAGGAATCTAAAATTAAAATTAAATGAAAAATAGTATTTTTTTTGTGTTTTTTAGATTTAAAAGAAAAAAAGAAAAAAATTAATTAAAATTAAAGTGTTAAACCCTAATTCTAATATTTTTTATTTATTATGAAAGAATTAAAATATAACCTAAATTAAACCTAAGTTAATTTATATACAATTTAATTATGAAAATAAATGAATTAAATATTATTATTGTAGAAAATGAGAAAAAATAAGAAAGGATAAAAAGAATTCATTAAACCTAATTCTACACATTTTTAGATTTTTTGATTAAAAAAGAATTAAGGTTATAATTAAATTAAATAATTACAAACATTTATTTATGAAAAATAACTATAATAAAATAATTATTAAATTTTTTTATCCTTTCTGAATTTTAATGTTTTTTATGTTTTGTAGAAAGATAAATTAAATTAAGCAAATAAAAGAAATGAAAAGAAAAATTAAAGAAAGAAATAAAAAAAAATGACAAGGCAAACCAGGGGGGTGTAGTCCCCAGAATTGGAGGTGCAGATTTGAAAAAGCCTGGCCCATTTTTGCTTGAATTGGTTGACTTTTCTAATCCTGTGTGATGCTTTGACTGGCCTCCACCATATGCCCTTGTTCTGGACCCTTTGATAAGTCTCCTGGGACACGTGGATAATGCCTCTTGAATGTGCATGGTGAGTCCTCAACGTTATGCTACATGGGAATTGGAAATGAAAAATAATATTAGAAATGTGTGAGACCTGGGGTTTGAACCCAGGTCATGAGAGTCCTTAGTGCACGTCCCTGCCAGCTGAGCCACGTTGGTTTCATTTAACATATAATAGTCAATAAAAAATATAAAAGAAAAATGGTTAGTGTTATTTAAAACGCGCGCAAATTCGAATTGCCCAGTCTCCGTGTGACAACTCATCGTCTCTTTCATTTTTTCTGAAACATGAAGGGCAAAGGCAACGTTTTTTGATCGTTGTTTTAGGGGGCCTAATAGAAAATAGCGACTAGCCCCTCGTTGCTCATAAATTGAGCGCGAGGGTGCCATCTTCTTCGTTTCAATCTCCTTAAGCTAATGGCGCTGGTTTGGAAGCATGAGTTTTCCTTGGTCAGAAAGCCCCAAATGTGAAACCTGCAAAACCTAGAAATTGGACATGGCGAAATCGCGTATGTGGCACAACAATGCAATTAAACATAATGATTAGTTCTAGAAACTCATGAGGAACATGAATCCACAGTTAGAATGGCATGAGGATGCTTAGAATGTAAATCACGATTGCCACATTTTTGTTGTACAGTTTGAGTTGTGGGTACCAGTTCAGGGGGTTTTGGAAGATGTTATGAATTGAAATGCGTTCAGTGATGGTCCAGGATGCTTATGGAACAAAAATTAAGGCTTGAAAAGATCCCTAGCTTTGAAATCAGATTTGCATTTTATGGTTCATTTTTCAAATTGCCAAATCACCTTTGAGCGAGCCTTTTGCTGCACTCTGGTTAGGGTTTGACTCAATGCATCTTATGGAATGGAATTGGTTTGTTTCTTGACCTAAATTCAAGCTTGGGAAAGAATTGGCCTTAGGGTTTCTTCCATTAACCATTTTCCTTCTTTTTAGCCAAAACCTAGACCTAGTATGCAAATGAACCTTAGCCTGATTTTTGAGTTGGTTCATGATGCATAGAAGTTGTCCAAGTTCATATGACATTATTTCATTGATTTTTAAATTTTATTTGAATTTTCAAAGAATTAAAATGAATTAAATCATCAAAAATTAAATAAAATAAAAAAATCAATATTTGGTCTTGAAATCAACCATGGAACACGTGTGTAGCATGACAAGGATGAACAAAGTGAGAAAAATGGGGCCCTTTTGTCAAAATTGGATTTTCAAGGATAGTTGACTTTTGCCATTTCACAAAAATTTCCCAACTTCTACAAGGCATAACTTGCTCAATTTTTAAGATTTTCTCATGTTCTTGGACATTTTGGAAAGGTCTTTGAGTCCTTTAACCAATGCCTTTGGTCCCATGTCATTTTGATTTACCAATCTCAAGTTATGGCCTTTGACTTAAAGTCCCTTTTTGTTGACTTTTGAAAATGACCTGTAATGTTGAAATTGATAACTTTTTGTGAGAGCATTTCTTGGACTTGAAGTATGAAGATGAGTTGTAGGAAATGTCTTTCTCTTCAAAATGAGCTTTGGATGGAATTTTTCTGATAATCCATGTGAAAGTTATGCCCTGGTCAATTTCAGTTGACTTTTTCAGCTGTCCAAATATAGCAACTTGTGCATCTTTGATGATTTCTGAGCCAAATTTTGAGAATCATGATCAAGCATTGATCAAATGATGTTTGTGGCTTCAAAATGATATATTGACCAAAAATTTGAACTTTTGACTGCCAAATGACCATTTTGCCCCTACAGTTGACTGTAGTGCAATTTAGGGTTTTGACTGTGCAATCTTGAGCTGAATGCCTTGAAACTTGATATGAGGATGCTTGACCATGTTTGTAAGCATATGAGACTTGATTGAGCCTTTGAAAACTTCCTTTTCTTGATCAGAACCCAAACCCTAGTTTTGACTGTATAGGAAACAGTTGAGCTGCACAACCCTTGGGGAATTTTGTGACCTGGCTTGGCAATTTCTTGAGGAATATGGGAGGGCAAATTTTGGGGTATAACAGTTGCCCCTGTTCAATCTTCTTAGACCTGAGGATGTAGATTGGCTGACGTGCCTTTCGTAATCCGAGGGTAAAAGATGATTGGACACTAGAGTGCCCGGAAATTTGCGCTCACATGTTGGCAATGAGGGTAATGGGCTTATAGATGCCATCTGGATGTTTATCGCGTAGGAGATTCTTTAGCGAGAACCTGCATACCTGCAAAAGAGAAAATGAGTACCTGACACGTTGCAGGGGCTGATGTTTAGATGTGTCCTGACTGGTTACAGGAGCTGAGTCTGGAGCTTCAAACGGTGATGAAAGAACCAGGGATGATTACTTCCTTAGCATGAATGGTAAGAGAGCCTTGGGCGACTTTAATTTCAACAATGCTTGTTGAGAAAAATCTGGGGTGTCTTCTACTGGGATAAGATTCAGGGAGATCTTAAGGTCGATCTGACTGAACCAGAGAGGCCTTTGACTGGGTAAGCAATCAGGAAAATCTTGGGACGATTTAACTGAACCGGTCTAGGTCTTGAAATGTCTTCAAAGGGATAAGCATCAGGAGAATCTTGGGATGATTTAACTGAACCAGAGAAGGCCTTTGACTGAACCAGTCTAGGTCTTGAAATGTCTTCAAAGGGATAAGCATCAGGAAAATCTTGGGACGATTTAACTGAACCAGAGAAGGCCTTTGACTGAACCAGTCTAGGTCTTGAAATGTCTTCAAAGGGATAAGCATCAGGAAAATCTTGGGACGATTTAACTGAACCAGAGAAGGCCTTTGACTGAACCAGTCTAGGTCTTGAAATGTCTTCAAAGGGATAAGCATCAGGAAAATCTTGGGACGATTTAACT